TTCTTCTCATTTTCTTAAATAACAACAATAGTGAAAAATACAGTTAATTTACAGTTGTAAATCATTTTTCAGTGATGTTTTATTGTACTGTTTTCTCCAGTGAATAGTAAAATGATTTATGAAACTCATTTCTCTATTATGAATGAAGTATAGATATTTCTACATGTAGGTCTTCTCTAAAAAACACAAGGTCTGGGGGTTGTAGCTCAGTGATAAAGCACTTGCCTTGCATGCCTGAGGCCCTGGGTTTGATTTAAAAATAAATCAATAAAATAAAGGTATCGTGTCCATTTATAACTAAAAAATATTTAAAAAACATTTTAAAAATACAAAGTTTTGTAGTTATAATAATGATTCATATTTATGGAATGCCACCCTAAGTCAGTTTTTCTCTGTACATGAATTAATTTTCACATTCCTACAAGATGGGTATCATGACATACCCATTTTTCAGATGGGGCAATTGGGATTCAGAGAGATTGTTACTCTCTAAACTCACATAGCAGTTTAGTGTTAGAAGGGCCTGGAGTCTCATTGCTCAGGCTGCCCTCCTACTTTAGGAAGGTTTTCCGTCTAATAATCCTGTGCCAAGGATCCAGGGAAGCTAGATTTTCATCACATTTTCCTARGGGAGGAGGCCAAACTTCTCCATCTGAGAACACCAGCAAGGGTGGGGTAATATGCACAGATGGGTGAAAAATGGATATCAAAGGGTCTTCTATGTGCCGGGCATCTTCTAAATATTGAGATGCAGTAGTGAATAAAACAGGAAGAAAAAAAAATTCTTGCTCACAGAGAAATGCCATTGTGGTATGGAGGAGATAGACAATTCAAAAAAAAAAAAAAACGTTTGTTATGTCCCATGGCGATGACAGGGCACAAAGCAGAGAAGAGGAGTCGGGGGAGGGGCTTGCAATCTTAAATAGGATGGTCAGGGAAGAACTGGCTGAGAAAGTGACCTATGAGCAGATACTTGAGAGGCACATTCCAGAGGGAACAGAAAACGCAAAGACCTCCCACCGCCGAGGCTGGGAAGCTCAAAAGAGAGCGTGAAGACCAGTGTTGCTGGCGCTGAGCGAAGCATCAGTGAGAGGAGGTGGGAGGTATCTGGGAGATCGTGGAGGGTCCCCTTGACCTGTGTCAGAAGCTAGGCTTTCTCTCTGAGGGAGACAGAAAGCCACTGGAGACTCTAAGAACAAAAGCAGCCTCTTACTACTGACAGGGAATTGACTGCAAGATGGTGGTACAATTTTATTGGCAGAGAGCTCTTGGGACAGATTTTTCCATGAGACCCTTGAGGTCACTCTGCAGGAGGGCTGGACAGGGAGAAGGCAGCCTGGGTGCTGGCCCAGGCGCTGGCATGTGGGGCAGGTGTGCTACAGCAATGCATAGGGGGAGAGATTTCCCCAAAACTCTACAACAGGAAACTCAGGACCTAAATGATTATTTTTCTTTAAGAATAATGAAGGCTGGAGGTGGGGGTGGGCTTCAAGAGAACTCAGGAACACTTCCATGGACCAGGTTTCCACCACGAGGCCAGGAAAGAGGGTCAATGAAGGGATTGGCAGACACCATCTCTACTTACTCCCACCTGCACCTGAGCCTGAACAGACTGGCTGGAAGTGCCTGTAGAGGTGAAAGATGAGGATTGAATTGCCTCCCCCCCGAGTACCTCAGAATACAACATTATTTGAAGAGATGCTCTTTTGCCAAGTTAAGCTGAGGTCGTTAAGGTGGACCCTAATCCAATATGGCTGGGGTCCACACAGAATGGGAAATTGGGATAGACGCAGGGAGGACACATGTGAGGACAAGTTAAGCTACCACTGGCCACAAGACTGCAGAGACCAGGAGACAGGCCTAGAGAAGAGTCCCCTCACACCTCTATCCAGGACTTCAGCCCCCAACTGAGACCATAAATTTCAGTTGCTAAGTCTCCTAAGAGTTGTGGCACTTTGTTCCTGCGGTAGAAACAGTCCTGGAGATGGTGCACAACAGCAAAACCACAAGCCACTACCTGCCATTCCATGCAGGTATCATCAGAGGGGAGATAATGGGATGGAGGGGGATGGAGGAGGGATCTCCCTAGCAGAGTTGCTTCTGATACTTCTGGGCCATGAAACAGAAAGCCAAAAGACTGCTGGGTGTGGTGGTGCACGCCTGTAATCCCAGTAGCTTGGGAGGCCAAGGCAGGAGTCTGTGAGTTCAAGGTCAGCCTCAGCAACTTAGCAAGGCCTCAAGCAAGTCAACAAGATCCTGTCTGTAAATAAAATATAAAAAAGGGCTGGGGATGTGGCTCAGAGATAAGTGCCCCTAGGTTCAATACACAGTACCAAAAATAAAAATAAAAATAAAAGTTGAAACACTGGCTTTTCTTTTTTTAAAATAATTTTTTTAGTTGTTAATGAACCTTTATTCATTTATTTATATGTGGTGCTGAGAATTGAACCCAGTGTCTTACACATGCGAGGCAAGCACTCTACCACTGAGCCACAACCCCAGCCCCAAACACTGGCTTTTCTTGATGTGGAAAAAAAAAGTCTCTGAGATGATTAATCTATCCAAGACTATTTGGGCCTCTCATGAAAAGCAAAATTAAAAAATTTTGATCAATTGACACAATTAATACCTATAAATATTTGCTTATCTCATCATAAAATTGAAGACTGGGCCCACCCAATCCTATGGATGAAATTGGCTTCTGTCTTGGTTTTCAGCTTTTAAAAATCACCTGAGAACAAGGAGACTCTCAGTGATTTCAGATCTGTCTGGATTTTGGCAAAGAGGTGGAAACTAAATCATGTATTGGGATACAGAAAAGGGTTTTATGTCTCTTTAAATTTTTTTTTTTTAAACTCGTTAAGCCCAAGTGGCATCTGCAGATCTAAATGGCAGAGAAAGGCTGCTCTGTTCCATTTGGCACACATGGTCCAGCAGAGCAGAACGTACACAGAGAAAACAAGCGGGCACCGGGCTGGTACAAGCCCCTCCCATCTGCCTCCAGTTGAACACAAGCCCAACACACACAAAGCAGGACGTATATTTAGAAAGGAGAGTGCTTTGTAATTAGAAAATAATGGTTACTTATTTTGACATTCTTTTTAATACGACTCTGTAGAAACCCTTTGCTTTTATGAGGCTTGTCAGAAGCACAGCTGGGAAGGGCTGGGACAATGAGATACCATGAAATATTAATACAAGCCAGCCCTGCACACATCCAATTGCTAGACCTCTCCAGAACACCATGCCTACTGGCAAGAAGTCATCGTGTGCCTGCCATTCTAATTAGTGACAAACCTGCCATTGAAAACACAGGCCCATTTTCATGAATCTTTCATTCGTTTTTGTGATCTGCCCATCACAGAGCTGCATTGTCGAGCCCATCAGGAAACTGAGACATGTACGTATGTGACCACTCTGCAGGCATCAGAAGGTACAAAATCCCCAGCTGACTCACTGTGCCCTCCTAGCTCAGGGCTGGGCTGAGGAGGCATTGTATTTGGAGTCTTTCTAACTCTGCACACTTTTGGAGACCATTGGGAGAATCCACTGAAACCAGATGGGTTGCAAACTGAACCAAAACCACCACAGTGGGAGATGGACATTCACGAGGCCCTAGAACCCCATCTTTAGTGTAGGAGAGCCCGTTCCATGCTCACCCTGTTCCCTGTGTAAGGAAACAGAACTTTGTTTCAGGACATAAGGGCTTGGGTGGCAGACAGATGGTCACACAGCTGCACAGGACCATCCCCAAGAGCTTTGGCTGGGACGAATCCCACTGCAGAGCCCCTTCTGTCTCTGGGCCTCCAAATGTCTGTAAACAGATGAAATCAGATTATGGTCCACAATACAGGCACTTTGAAAAAAAAATCTATGCATCTGTGAAAGGAGCAGGGACATCCGGATCCAGGAGAAGCACACCGTGCACTGACTGCAAATGCTCAAAATCTGGGAGCAGAAAATCCTTTCCCCCCAACTGTCCTCTCCAAATCAGGATTCAAAGCCAGCTGGGGGAGGAGGGTGCCAGGATGACTCTGCTCTTCATTTTATACCTTCCCATACTTTTAAAAGACACTTGTGCTGATTTTTTTTAAAAAACATAGAACTACAAATTATTACCAAAAACTGTCTGGTTTGTCAAGAAGGCTCTAGTTATACATATATAGATAGATAATTGGTAGATGATAGGCAGGGGATAAATGGATGGATGGATGGATGGATAGAGAACCAAAACATGCTATTTTTGTTTACTATTAAGGAATTTTCTAGAACTCTACTGTTAAATACATCCATACGATTTTTATGGGCATAGCAGGCAAAAGGTCACTTCATAGAAAAGCTGGAAATGGGTAAATTTTCTGAAAAAATATGAACTATATCTGACAAGTGTTTCTTCTTCAAATTCCTTTTTTCGGTACTGGGGATTAAACTCAGTGGCACTCAACCACTGAGCCACATCCCCAGCTCTATTTTATATTTTATTTAGAGATAAGATCTCACTGAGTTGCTAAGTGCCTCGMTTTTGCTGAGACTGGCTTTGAACTCATGATCCTCCTGTCTCAGCCTTCCCAGCCACTGGGATTACAAGCATGCACCACTGCRCTGGCTCAAATTCCTCTTTAAACAAAAATATCAACTATGCTGTCTTTTTTTTAACAAAATCCCTAGCTTGAGGAAAGTATTTTAAAGCTAAAGAAGTCGAGAGTTCTCTAGTGAAGGCCAACTGCCCCTGTAAGAGGACTGCACACATGTTCCCCTCCAGTTTTTGCTTTTTCCAGAATGTTATATAGGAAGACATAGGGAAGGAGACCGCGTGCAGTCAGGGAGGGAAGGATCCCTGTGAGCTCAGGCCAGCATCAGCACCTGCCTTCCCCTGCAACACGCTGTGGGTCAGTCCGGGTTTCGGGAGACCACAGTTAAGGAGCCGAGTAGAAAGTGACGGAACCTAAATTGCAATGTAAGAAGAAGGGAAAACACAGACACGAATATTTTGTGCTCCAGCAAATCTATTCGGAAATGACTAAATGACTAAGTCCTGGGGGAATGTGAAATATGGCACAAATTCCAAAGAACAAGTGTCTAAGATGACATATGCAGCTTACGCTTTTTGTTTAAACATGAATTTGTCAAAACAGAAAATTGTCACTGGGGCTGTGTGAACAAGGGTGGGAAGTGGCCTTGTGTTCCAGAAGCCACCACCCACAGCAGCAGCAGCAGCAGCATCGTGGACACTGGTGCAGCAACTTGACATTCATGATTCCTGTTCCCATGACAGCTAGATATGTCTGGAAACCCTGATTAGGGCAGGGACGAGAAGCACTGGGGCTAGGAACGGACCCTGCTCAGCACCAAGTCTTTGACAACAAAACCACGTGCAAATAGACAAAGAGGTACGTGACACCAAGTTGGTGCCAACGCTGTGTGTGCGGAGAGTGGACTTCCTTTGACGCTGACGACTGATGTAGTCTCTCCACGAGTCTGGTCATAAATCTGTCCCTAAATCTGTCCCAAAATCGCTTTAGCAGACGGCAGGTGACTGGTATAGAAGCATCTTGGGGCAGAGTCTGGTGGAGTAAGGACGGCCATACACTCTGCAAGGAGTCTCCTGTGTGGGTGATTTTCACTCCCAAGCCCGTGTGCTGCTGGCTGGAGGTCCCCGCTACTGAGGGGTGCTAGGTTTTCTTTTCTGCTGGGGTCCTGGGCTCTGGCTTCTTCACCGCTGCCTGAACTTTGCTTTTCCCGATGCTTGGCCTCTTGGGTTTCTGGGTGTTGTTTTGAAGGGATTTCAGCCCCAGCATTTTGCAGTACTTGTTACACTGGTGTAGTGCTTTAAACTGATCGATGAAGGTCATGGAACAGTTGCCTTTAAATCCTTTGTACCTGTAAGTTTGTGGGGAAAGGAAATGGATTTTAAAACAGGACACTTCACCAGTTTAGAAAGGAAATTTTGGACAAGTTCCCAGGTCCCCAAGTCTCCCTCTCCACCTGCAGATTCACAAGATCCATCAGGAAAGCTGGTTGAAAGCTTAGACCTCCAGGGCTCTTGACAGAATTTCTAAGGGTAGCAGAGTATCGCTGCCTGTTTTGTAGCTGGAAAGTGACCATGCATGTCTCTCTGCCAGCCACCAGAAAATCCCCATGTTCCACATGCACTGACTCCAGGAACACTCCCTTAGAGAAGAACCAGAGTGAATGTGCACACCAGCCATCATACACTCGCCCAAGACTGGCACCTTCCTGAAATGGTCTTTCCTCTCACCACAGATGAGCTCCCTTGAATCCCAAGGGATTTGTACTTCAATGTGCGTCACCCATAAATAAACACTTAGAAGAAGTCTGTTCATACACCTGCATGGCCCATCTTGCATTCACTTGGCCCCTGCCCATTGATGCATTCTGCACACGGCCACCAGAGTGACCTCTGCAACACGTGAGTCGTGCCATTCCCCTGCTTAAAACTCCCACTTCTGTTAAGATGAAGTCAAAGTTCCAACCCTGTCTGCAGTGCCCCTGGCTGGCCACCCCACCCCGACCTCCTCTCAGTCTTGGAAGTAACCACGCTGGTATCTCCCAAGAGTCTCTGCCCAGACCATTCCCTCTGCAAGGGATGGCCCTGCTCCCTTCTCTTTCCTTCCTGTCTTCAGTCCTCCACTTATTCTGCTTCCTCTAGCAAGCCTTCCTGACCTCAAAACCAAGTCACATTCCCAGCTGCAGGATCTCCAAAGGGAGCACCTCCACCTCACAGCACGCTGACACGCACAATCTGACCTTGTCAGAAGGGGAGTTGCTTAATGTCTCTCCCTCCCCACACTGCAAACCCACGAGGGCAGAACAGAGGCCAGCACCCTCTCCTCCCTGGTATGCCCCCAACACTCGATCCAGGGAAACTCCACACACAGAGGATGGTCTAAAAACAAACTCCAGGGTGGCTGTTCAAAGAGTTTTTTCAATGTTCTCCTGCTGTCTTGTGTCTGGGCTGTGTCCTTGAAAATACAGACATATATGAAGAAGAGACTGTTACTTTCCTCCCCCAGCTTCTATACAGTACCTAACCAAGCACTGTGCTAGAGGGGACAGGTACTACAGAGGACAAGCAAGCCACTGACCCCATGTCCCTTGTTGTCTAGGGAAGGAGATAGATGTCACATCAYTATGGTGACATGCGATGCAGGTGAAGCACTTACTGCTGGCTTAGTAAGACATTAAGCTTCTCTGATCTGCTATCAGTTTTCTCATCTTTAAAATGGAAAAAATAGTAACACCTAGCCCGTAGGGTTGTTGAGAGGATGAAGTGAGAGAATCCATACAAACCACCCAGCTCAATGGCTGCCTCAACAGAACCCCAAAGCTCAGGGAATGAACAAATGGGAGGGCATCAAATTAAAAGGCTTCTACACAGCAGAGGAAACAATTAAGAATGTGAAGAGGGAGCCTACAGAATGGGAGAAAAATCTTTGCTAGCTACTCATCTGATAGGTAATTAATATCAAGAATATATAAAGAACTCAAAAAACTTAACACCAAAAAGGCAAATAAGCAATTAAATGGGAACTCAACAGGCACTTCTCAAAAGAAGACATCCAAATGGCCAACAGATATATGAAAAAATGTTCAACAATTAGGGAAATGAAAGTCAAACCTACACTGAGATTTCATCTCACTCCATTTAGAATGGCAGCCATCAAGAACACAGACAATAATAAATGCTGGAGAGGATGTAGAGAAAAAGGAACACCTTTACACTGTTGGTGGGATTGAAAATTAGTACAACCTCTGTGGAAATCAATAAAGAGACTTCTCTAAAGACTAAGAATGAAACCACCGTATGACCCATCTACACCCCTCCTGGTATTTATCCTGAAGAATAAAGTCATCAAACTATAGTGATATATACATACCCATGTTTCTAGCAGCACAATTCACAGAGCCAAACTATGGAACCAGCCTAGGTGGTGGAACAGATAAAGAAATATGTATGCACAATGGAGTTTTATTCAGCCATATAGAAGAATGCAATTGTGTCACTTGCAGGAATATGGATGGAATTTGAGAGTATTATGTTAAGCTAAATAAGCCGAATGTTATTAATGAAAGTCATATGTTTTCTCTTCTATGTGGAAGCTAGAGAGAAAAAATAAAATAAAAAAAAGGTGGGGGAATCTTATGAGAGGAGGAGGGGGAGGGGAGGAGGAAGAAGAGGAAGAGGAGGAGGAGGGGGAGGGGAGGAGGAAGAAGAGGAAGAGGAGGAGGAGGGGGAGGAGGAGGAGGAGGAACAACCAAGGGAAGAGGAAAAGGGAGGGTGGGGGGAAATACTGAGGAACAATATTGACCCAAATTGTGTTGTTATATTGTGTGCATGTATAAATATGTAACCATAAATCCCACTATTACATATAATTATAATGCACAAAAAACCCCACCTAGCTAAGTACATGACACATAGAGAAGATTCAGTTGCTATTGGCCTTCTTATAATCATCACTATTATAAGCGGTGCAGCTGCTGGGATCTCCCTGTGAAGGGATGTTGAAGTTGAGACTGGAGAATGAGGGATTTTCAGAGGAAAGGAGAGAAACAGGGTGTGCCTGGCCATTGACAACATTTATACAGGGCCATTGACATAATTTTCAGGGCGCAGGGCAAAATGAAAAGATGAATTTCCTGTTCAAAAATTATGAAAAATTCCAGGAGAAAAACAACAGAGCATTAATCCAAACGCAGAACCCTTCTGCATGGGGGCCTCATGCTAGCACATGGCTGGCAGAACCATAAGGCTAGCTCTGCTGGGGTGAGAGTTCAGGCCATTTCTAACTACCAGAACCAGACACAAATTGGTAAGAAGAAGTCTGCAACCCTGGCACGATGTAGATGCGATGGCTGGTATGAAGACTGTGTCCACACAGCTGGAATGAAGCGGGGTGGAACTGTGCTCCTCTCCTACCATCCAAGCTGCCCTTTAGGTGTGAAAGCTCTTTCCTTTCTAGAGCTACAGTTCCATCCTGACGTGCTTGCTATGAATCCTGCCTGCCCTCTCCTCCTCCCTGCTAGGGCGTGCTCTGCCCTGGGGAGCCCATAGTCCATTTCTTTCTGAAAAATGACGTGGCCTCTATAAGTCAAGTTCATTTGTTGGGGGAAAAAAAGTCAAACAAAGACAGGAGTTGAATCTAGCAGAGTAGGGAAAATTCTCCTGTAAGCATGTCATTTTTACATCTCTATCTTTCTCTGTAGGAGATTCCCAGAAAAGGTCGAAATGCCAGCCCTTCTGCTCTTCCTGAGCACGCCCTGGGGACACACGAGGCCAGCTGAGCCTGCTTGTCAGACACCATGGTAGCCTCTTCCCTTCTGCAGAGGCCTAATTGCTTCTCACCAATTCCCAAACATCTCAGACAAGCTGGGAATGTTATGGACAGCGACAGCCTCCTGGTTCAAGCACATCAAAAATAAGTCCTGGTCACTCATGTCAGGACTGCTTGGGGCTTTTAAACCTTCAAACATCTCATCTCTGCAAAAAAGCAAAGCAACTACTTTATGCTGTGGCCTCCCAGAAAGGTCACGGCTTCCTCCTTAAGCACTGCCTTGTGACTAGGTGCTAATGCTGGGTAACAAGCGGGCCCTTATCTAATGGTTTCAGCTCTGGAATGGAAAGAGCAGAGTTTGCTCAGAGGAGCATGACTTCTGGGTAGCCCAGAGAAGCACAGATCTCTTCCAGGAATCCAGCTCCTTCCTTTTCCTCTGCTTAAACTTTTGCCTTAGATCTTCAGAGAATGCTAATAGCAGACAGCAGAGATTCAACTCAGGGTTGACTGTAGATGACTCTGTATGGGTACAGTAAGGCCCAAGGGCCAAGGCAGCCCTTCCCTCTCCCAGCATCTAATTCACTGTGAGTCCCAGATGGAGTATAATCTCTCTGGAGCCCTCTGGGCTCCATGCGACAAAAAGGAATTCCTCCAATCTTGTCCCTGCATCTTCCTAGATTTTCCATGTAATTAGTGGTGCCTCCACAGACCATGACCTTTCCCAGGACATTGTGTTATATACCCAGGACTCCTATCCAGGGCAGGATTTTTCTATTAATATTCAAGACACAAATGAATGGATCCCAGCTTCATTCTCAGATACTTAGTTTTGCCCAGGGTGGGTTTTTATATCCATTTCAGTACATTTCTTTCTTTCTCTATAGTAGTCTGTTTTCTGTTGCTATAACAAAAACCTGAGGCTGGATACTTTATAAAGAAAAGAGATTGATTTGGTTGATGATTCTGGTGGACAGAGGATTCATACATGGCATTGGCATCCTGATAAGGATCTCCTGGCTGCATTATATTATAATATAGGGAAGTTGAAGGGGAAATGGTTGTGTTTTGAAGGGGCCAAGTATGTGGGGTGGCCTTCCTATATAACAACCCACTATCATGAGAACTAACTTATTCCATGAGACCAGCATTAATAGGGCCATGCGTCCACAACCTAATCACCTTCCCTAGGCCCTGTCTCTTAAGGATCCCACCTTCTCAACACCACCACACTAGAGACCACTTTTCAAAAAGGTGAACCTTTGGGGGACACACTCAAACTACATCCAAGCCAGTGTCTTCCCCTTGTAATGTTGGACTTTCCATTTGGCCTCTCGGGTAACAGCAAACTTCTGTCTCACAGCTTTTGTGGATTTGTTTGTTTGGGGTTTTGGTGTTTGCTTCCCAGCATCTACAGAATTGAGACTCTTTCTCCTTCACTTCATCTCTGCCTCAGCCAAGAGGTTGGGCCTCTGCTTTGACCTATGGTTCTCTCAAAGCAGCAGCCATTGCCAGGCTTGCCTGGGAGAAAAACAGAGTGAGGTTCTAATGTTTCTAGGCCAGTTAACCCCGGATTTATTCAAAGTT